TTACTCTTCTACTTAGAAGGGTTATAAGTGCTATTATCCACTGCCCAGAAAGTGCATGTTACTTTGGATGTGATTTTCCATGAAGAAGTGTCCTATTATGTCTCTCCATCCTCTCCAATTCAGGGGGAGAATGGGAGTGAATTGGAGAGTCTTGGATTGGAGAATCTTATATTTGAATTTGAGAATGATGTGTTTGAAGACACTGTTCTCGGGAAGGAAATGATTAGTCACACTGAAGCAAGCGACTGGTCGCCCATATTTGGAGATGAAACATGTGGTCTCTGTAAAAAACGACTGGTCGCCCATATCTGGAGATGAAGCAGGTGCTCTTGGTGTTGAAACGATCGGTCGCATTGAAGCAAGTGACCAGTCGCCATTTGCCCTGCCAGTACCCCAATCTACTCGTGATAATGAATCAAGTGAGGTAATTTCTAATGATCTACCTTTGTCAACTTATCAGTTACCCCCACAAACCACTTGTGGGAAAGCTAAAGTACAATATTCTCCTTATATATGTGCCAAATCTAAATATCTCATTAGCCATTATATGTCAACTCATCGATTGTCTAAGTCATATGCATCATATTTGTGTCAATTATTTAGTGTATGTGTGTCAACTCAGCTGTATGATGCTTTATCTAACCCCAAATGGATGGATGCCATGAATGTTGAAATGAATGGCTTGAACAAGAATAAAAGATGGGATTTAGTTCATTTGTCATGAGGGAAGAAAGCTATTGGATGCAGATGGGTGTTTACTTTGAAGGCTGATGGTTCCATTGACCATTACAAGACTATATTGGTAGCAAAATGTTATACTCAGACCTATGGAGTGGATTATTTGGAGACCTTTGCTCTAGTGGCAAAGCTCAATACTATGTGTGTATTATTGTCTCTGGCTACTAACTGTGACTGGCCCTTATTACAATTCGATGTCAAAAATGTGTTTCTACATTGTGACATTTAAGGAGGAGATTTATATGGATCTCCCTCCTGGTGTTCCTGTAACCACTAAGGAGGGTATTGTGTGTAAGCTGCGAAAATCCTTATATGGATTGAAGCAGTCTCCAAGAGCGTGGTTTGGGAGATTTGCAATATCTATGAAGAAATTTTGGTATGTGCATAGTAACTCATACCATACTTTGTTTCTAAAGCGTCCATAAAGGTAAATTGACAGCTTTAATTATTTATGTTGATGATATAATTGTGACTAGAGATGATCAGACAGAAATGCAAAATCTTCAGAAGTATTTGGCTTCCAAGTTTGAGATAAAGTTATTGGATGATTTGAACTACTTTCTTGGGATTGAAGTTGCTAGATCTAAATATGGTATCTTTCTGTCTCAAAGAAAGTATATTTTGGATTTACTTGCAAAGACTGGAATGTTGGATTGTAAACCAATTGATACCCCTAGTGAACATAATCATAAGTTGGGGTTGTATCATGATCAAGTCCCTACAGATAAAGAGCGTTATCAACGACTTGTGGGGAAATTGATTTATTTAGCTCATACAGGTTCTGATATTGCATTTGTAGTGAGTGTAGTGAGTCAGTTTATACATTCTCCTAGTGAAGATCATATGGGTTAATCTTTTGCAAGTATGGTCATACAGATGTGGAAGGGTATACAGATGCTAATTGAGCTAGTTCAATCACTGATAGACGTTCTACGTCTAGGTATTTCACATTTGTTGGTGGTAATCTTATTACTTTGTCTAAGTCTAGTGCCGAGGCTGAAGACCGTGGGATGGCTCAAGGTGTGTGCGAGTTACTATGGTTAAGAAGATTGTTGAGAGATCTTGAGTTTGACCCCAGAAACTCATGGATTTGTAGTGTGATGATAAAGTTGCAATTGCAATTGCGCATAACCCTGTGCAACATGATCGTACAAAGCACGTGGAGGTTGATCGATATTTTGTTAAAAAGAAGTTGAATGCTGAAATTATTTCTTTTCCGTTTATATCATCCGAGTATCAACTTGCAAATGTTCTTACGAAAGCTGTGTCTATTACAGTCTTTCTCAACTCGCTTGACAAGTTGGGCATGCATGACATCTTTGCTCCAACTTGAGGGGGAGTGTTAGCGAAATACTAGCTTAATTAGGAGATTTATTTCCTAATTTATTATGACTATATTTCTTTCCTTTTGTACAGATATTGTGTAATTAGTATTTTATCTTGTTTCTTAGTTTGACCATACTTAGAGTTACATCTTTGTATTATAAATATCTCCTTTTGGAGAATGAAATACAACTTGAAAATATTCTATCTATATTGTTTGACAAAATTAAGATCGATGGTGAAGCATTTCAGCCACCGCCATGAGTTGTGCTCATATCAAGTTCAAGAGGATGATGAAATCACTTGCTCCGGCTGTGAGCTACCTCTAGACCTCATGATGAATTCAGCTACTTCTGCTTACAAATGCACCAAGTCCAAGTGCAACTTTTACCTCCACGACTTGTGCTTTGAACTTCCCCAAGAAATCAAACACAAGTCTCACCCAAAACACCCTCTTACTCTCTCCACCCCTCCCTATGAATATGGTGAGTTCACGTGCGATGCATGTGGTGAATTTGGCACTTGTTTCACCTTCCACTGCACCCATTGCAAATATGATCTCCATGTTCAGTGTGCTACTTTGCCTGAAACCCTGAGCCATCATCATCATCACCACCTGCTCACTCTTTTTTATTCTTTGCCAGATCATCATGAGAATGAAGGCAAGATTAATATCTGTGATTTTTGTCAAGGCACTTTCCCTCGGGGCTGCTGGCTCTACTCTTGCAGAGATTGTGACTATAGTACCCATCTGGGGTGTTCAACTGCTGAAGCTGATCAAGATTACCCGGAAGATCAAATAATAATCTCATCTTGATTCAATTTTAATCATTTTCTCCCCCATTCTTTGCTCTCTCTCTCTCTCTCTCTCTCTCTCTCTCTCTCTCGTCCTTGTAACTTTCCCCAGTTTTATGATAACTTCTTGTTTGAGGACTGTGTTGGATTATGATATTATAGTGTGGAGTAGGCAGATGAAGGCACAGGGAACCATGTGGGTACTCACCACCTCCTTGCTGCCGTGAACAAATCATTGTGGTATTAGGCAGATGAAGACTTAAAAACAGGCTTGTAGGACAGATAGATGGAATTATAAACTTACACTAACAGGAGACAGATTCTTCTGAAAATTAGAATTGAATGCGTATTCCTAATCTTCCAAAGGCAACGAATGAAGGAAAAAACCCAAAAAGGACAGGCTGCACTATTTTGTTATTTGAATGATATGTGAAATACTATTATTATCCTTGCATTATGATTTTTAGGGAAAAAAAATATTTATATGGCATTGTTGCAAGTTTTAGGTTTTGCAAGGCTTGGATGATATATTTGGTCCCTTTGAAAAGTCAAATAGGTTTTTTTATTAGAGTTTGAGTATTATAGAGTTTTTATATATTTTGGACCCTATTAATAGGCTTTCATGTGAAAGGCCCTAAGAAAATTTGATACATACCTTTAACCATCCGTTTGGATGAGGGAAAATAACTCAGAATTTAGGTAAAAATTGGGAATTGAAGAAGAGAAATTGACAATTTCCTTGTTTGGCAATTTAAACGCGGAACTTATTAAATGACGCGTGGGAAAAACATAGAAATTGAGACATCAAATTCCCGAGTTTAATTTCCACCAAAATAGGCGTCATTTCACAATTTCCGTAGTGCGGGAATTCATATTTTCCAGTGTGCCAAAACTTACATTAAAAAAAAAAAACCCACCAAACTTTTCATTAAAAAAAAACAGTGCCAAAAACCTATGAAACGGAGTATAGCCAAAGAAGTAAGGAGAAGGAGTTCTTCTTGGGTTACATGGCTCTTTGGATCAAGTTTGAAGGTTAGTCTTCAAACCTTTCTCTCCTTCAATTTTTTTATTTTTTTCTATTTTGGGGTTACCATGGTTTCTGAATGGCTATCAAAATTGGGTGTTTCTGACTAAATTTATCAATATGTTGAATGGGTTTTGTGATCTTTGTGGTACTATGGCTGAATTTTTGGGAAGTTTTAACAAAATAATCTATGCCCATGGATATTGGTGTGTGATTGGTGTTTATGGTACAGCTCTGTAGTTGTTTGCTAGCTTTATCACTTTGTGTTATCGCCTTACTCTATAGTTGTTTGTTAGCTTTATCACTTTGTGTGAGCCATTAGATGTTGATTGTAAGCTACACCAACTTGCCTGTAAGCGGTAGCTTGGCCAAGGTGCTCCTTCATTCTTTGGGATCTGAATTAAGTCTTATGATAATGATTCATTGATTTCATCATTTATTCCTATACTTTTGTTTGCAACTTTTTAATCAAAGCCATTTCAGTTTCTCTAGTCATTGGTCTTTTGCCAAGTGAAAAAGAAGTACTAGGGTCTTGATTGCTGATTGCTTCTAGTTCTAATTTACATGAGTTATCCAAACATTGAAATTTTTAATTTCTGTCATTTACAAAATTCGATATACATAAATCCAAACAATGAAATCTTCAATTGCCAGAAATTGAAATGACGGAAATCTAAATTCCGTCATTCTAAAATTCTATGTAATTTGCAATTCCTTCATCCAAACGGAGATGTCTAAAGCAAGAATTCTATAGCGAGGGCCTTGTATACGGCCTGCGTAAATAATAGTTTTGCATAAATAATAGTTGGTTATGATTTTAGTGTAGTTTATAACATACCATGAATTTTTTTTTTCTTTATGCTGCCTCCAAAACCTGTTTTTCATGCTCACCAAACGTTTAATTATCAATCTGCAGGAGAACAGGTGGTTTTGTTCAAGATAATTTCGTCATATAAAGTCTGTTCCTTCACATAATCAAACAACTTTTGTTATTTGGGTCAATAATAATCAAACAAATTATTTTCTTACCATGGACAACATTTTCAAAATCTTCAGTTCAAGCTTTCCAGTCATGAGCACCAAATTTGCGGTCTTCTTTTTTCTTTTTGTGGTCAAAACATTGTTTTAAACCAGGTGTCTCGCCCTCTTAAGATCAGCTGATGATATATATCATACATCAAACAGGCAATGAAATTGTTAAGTTTCAAACCTTTATCATAAATATACATGTACAAGTACTCTAAAGTTTGACAAAAAGCACAAAGAAAGACATCTATGAATTCTTTTGATGAATAATTTGAGCAAGCACTGGAGCTATTTACATTGAGCTAAATGAGACCATCCCTAAAATAATTTGGATAAAAATTACTCCTTGTTGCTGGAGGAGTGGTGGCCCTTCCTTTGTCCTCCTCCTCCGAGAATACGTGAGATCTGTAAACCTCGACTGAATGCTTGGTTGAACAGCATTCGTGTTTGGAATTCGGAAACGAAAGGGAACCAAGCCAAGAATGCAACTGGGGTGAAAAGAAGCAACCCCATGATTATTTCATAACCACGAGCAAGTGTTTGAACTGACCCCCAAAATCCTGCTTGTTGAATTAGTGGCTTACAAGCTTGTGCAATCTATAGGAATATTTATGAAGATAAAAAAAACAGAAGAAACAATTAGAACAAATCAACGAGTTAATAGACAATTGAAAACTAGGTTACAAATATTAAACACTAAATAGTTAGAACAGGAAATTAGCAACAAAAAAAAGGATTAATATGATTTACTGACCAAAAGCAATCCCCATCCAGTTGGCATGAAGGCAAGAATGCAGACTACAACATCCCGAAGCGTCATATGAGGGAGCACTATTAAGGTAATGAAAATAGATAAAAATGTAATAAATATAAATCCCTTAACCAGTCGAAACAAAAGTTGATAGTCTGCACTTAATCGTCGCCTTCCAGCAGACACGGCCTGAAAATTTTTAGCACAATTGTCAAAATAAATCTAAGAAGCAATAAATTGATTTTTTACAGTCGTAAATTAGTTTGCAATAACAAAAGAGCTGGTAAAAGCCAAGTAAAACATTTTCTGACATGAAAAATATGCGGAAATTAACATAACCACATACACAAGCTTATTGACTCATAAAATGCCTATATGAGCATTTGCCTTCTATGTAAGTACGTTGAGAACAAGACATGGTTTGTCAGATTTTGACATGCAGCAAAAAGTTAAGTACACTCCATTGGTTGGTAGAGGAAATCATTTTTCAGAGCCTAGATGGTGACAGTTTAAGAACTGTTTCCGTTTTAATGCTGTATTTGAGAGAACAAGAAAAAAGAAAGTCAGATTTTTGGTTAATTCAGTTCTTAAAAGACAGATTTTGATGTTTATAACCTAACAAATACAAAATGCCTCTGCCTCATAAAAAGGCACGAAAGAAGAAAGCTTCTACGTGGTAATTTTTGCCACCAAAATAACTCATGAATGACGTCTTAGGAAGTTTCAATAAATACAAATCTTGAAACAAGAAAGTATGGCTATGTTTGGAAATACACATATTAGGAGTCCTGAAATTTTAACTACCCACCTTCATCAACACCAAAATTAGAAGGATCACCAGCCACGAAACACCATAGACCTGCAAGCGCATTGAAAGGAAAATTAATATTTCCACCTGCTTTATAAAAATAATAGATATTAGAATGTAACGGTCGAAAGAAGCATAAAATGCATATACCAGAAAACTTTTGTTGTTTGTAATGTTGAGGTGATAGACAAGCCCATACTGGTAGATGAAAAAGCGCAATGCTAATATTATCTCAGTAATGATACCACGTATTCCAGAGTAACGAAGATGCTCATGTTCTTTTTCCCACCAGGATTCCCAGCTTTTATCAGGAGAGACACCGATGCCTCCATGATTGTTTATCCACTTCTTCCAATCCGTCCAGTCATCGACAATCTTTTGCCACTCAAACCCTGATGGATTGAAGAGGAATGGAGCAAAAAGCCATGTTCCAACCATGAACCAAATTTGTATCGTAATGAGGATATATACAACCGCACTTCTATATGAACGACCAAATATGTGGTACACAACAAGCAGAATCAGTAGCTCGATGCCCTTGACAAAGTGGCTTCTGGAGTAGAGCCTGTAATTATCAGCGAATTTGGCATGAAACACTACAAAGCTACGACCCGTTGCTCGGTATTCTGCACCTCCGTGAAGTAAAGTCTTTCCATAATAGTGCGTCTTTGTACCAAGAGAAAATGTGAAAAATACAGGGGCCAATTGTAATTGCATTAATATGAAATCGCTTAGTGCAACACGGAACCCCTTTTCTAAACCAATTTCCATAACCATAGGCAAGGCCATCAAAAATCCAATTTGCACAACAGACTGAGAAGCAAGAGCTATTTGAAGAGGCTTATTGTCTCGAATAGCTCGATGAGTACTCAGACCATCTTCAAGCCCACTGAGAACAAGATAAAGGCGACCGTAGAGAAACACATAGACTGTAAGCACAGTCAACTGTCAAACCAGAACCAAAACATTTGAGATAATGGTAAAGGATTATATAATAAATGAAGAGAGAGGTATATTTTATACATACTAAAGTGCTGAAATAGAAACCAATTGTTGTGAAGTAGCAGGATAGCATCCGGAAGAAATCAAATCGATGCCCAAGCCTATAGATGTCACGACTCAGCGTCTGTTCGCCATTCCCATTAGCTATTTTTGCCTCAAAAATCGAGATCTGGTTCAGGCCAACATCTCGTCCTTTACCAACTTGTATATATTCATGATGAGTAACACTGCCTTCACGTACAGTAGAATTGAAACCTGCAGACAAGAGACGTGTGAAATTGGTACACTACCAATCCAAAACAAAACGAGTCTTAAACAAAGCGATGAGAGTGCCTGCAAATATGTCCTCGCTTAAATTGATGACTTTGGAAGCTTTGCTGACACCGCCTCTAGTCAGATGAAACAGTCTATCAAATACATCTGGATGGCCATAGTGGAATCTAACTCTGAATGAGGAAAAAAAAAAAAAGGATTCAGCAGCTTGAACTAGATAAGAAACATATGGTAACTGAAAATGTGTGTAGTGTGTTTCTTGAAACACTTCCAAGAAAAACACAACCAAAAAAAAAAAATGTCTAGTATCATACACTTGTGTGACAAATAGGCCCCAGAGTTTTCAAAATTGTTCCTATCTTCTCTGACCCATTTAAAGGAGGGCCGTGAGTAATAATTGATCACATGTAATAGGCCCTTCTTTGTGGTCTGCTTTGATTCTTAGCATTACTTTCTTTAAACATAACTTTCTCCATGTTTGCTTTATATTTGAATAACTTGGTGATTCAAAACGGGTAACTAATGTTAAAATTCCACATACAGGATTCATAGTCTAAAACAGTCTAAAGCTTGATGTTGAAAACTTAGTCAACATCTATGTGTTCTTAGAAGTTAATACCCAAATTTTGAAAACATCCAAAAAATTGGACCTGTTTATTTATGTCTATTTAAGTGGCTTAGACCGCATTTGTCGATGCCAATTAATTGGACCTGTTTCTAATTTCAAGCCAAAAGTTTATACCAGAAATAAAAATTGGAATTTTTGGATCCAGTATCTGATAAATACTTTCTATGTGGAACAATCCAATAGCATAAAAACGTAAAACTGGTGTCCCATGTTGAATATTCAAAGCTTCGTAACTACAGATACCTATTAAACTAAATTGAATTACAGAACTCTCATTATTATTAAAAGTTTCAACAAAAAAATATACACTTTCTCCTGAAAACTTTTGTTGGTTAAATACAATAATATTCTCTCGAACTTTAAAATAGTGCAACTTTTATTGTCCATGTTTATTTTTCATAAAAGAAATTATTCTTAGAAAGTACTTATCGAGATCAATGAAATTGTATAAAAAGATTTAATGTTTTTGTCTAAAGAAATATAAAGAACAATGGATAATTAATCAAACTATCAACTGTGTAGTGTATTAAAAAACAATTCCATTGTAGCATATATCTAATAAGTTGTGCCACTGTTACCTTTAACTAAATAATGCAAAACTATGACAGAAGTAAAGAATGCAGTAATAAAACTTTGCAGATGAAACTAATTTAATCATGTCACAATTGCTATGATTTTTTTTGCATAATTCAATATTTGACATCGACTTTGTTTGATAAACCTCAAAAATGTCTCCAGGATTACAAATGTTATCACAAACAGAAGTGTAAAATGGAAGTTATAACTTATAACATTTTAAAGTTGATACTTTAGCTTTATTATAATAATGAAATTAATTTGGATATTTTCTGACAAAAACACATGCGCTCCTTAGGGATATTGTAACCTGCTTAGAGGGATTAAATTTAACAAAATCAATCAAGCAGGAGCATAGTCCAGGAAAAAAAAAATACAGAAAATCAATAACCACCATTCCACCAAACAAAATACAGAAAATCAATATCATACGGGACCGTAGACAAATTAACTAATAAATATTTGAATGAATGTTGAATATGAAAAACATTCTCAGTCTGCCTAAAATCATAGTTGGTACAAAATTATGATGATCAAATGATTAACACAGATTGTGACAGCTAAATTCTCATTGGGCTGGGAAATAAATCATAAATTAGAAGTTCTGGAAACAAAATATAAACAAAATTCCGAATTCTTACCTCAGAGGGTTAGCCAGCAGTCTCTGTCCAATAGTTACAAAACTAGTCTCCTGATTGGACATAAACCATGCAAGAGATGAAACACTGCAAAAGATAACCGAAGACATGAAACGTCACACACATAAGCACAAAAGAAAATTTTAAAAACAAAAAATTTATGAAGTCTTAATTTACTAGCAGCACTGGAATTCCTGCTTCAGAGCAACAACACAACAAATACCTGCCAGTGAATATGTGCTCCCTAAGTCCAAGTATTGTCGGATATCTAACACCATCATGTTTCTGAAATTCTTGCAGCAAATTCCTCATTTTGAATGCTTCTTCCAAATAGTTATCCTGTTGAACAGATACAACCACGTGGTACTGAGTTTCAAAAAAGCACAAGCATATAGAATTTATACCTAAACTGTAAGCGTAGCCGATACCCTATTCCAGTGTGACCCCCTACTTGTGTCGAGTTTTTTTCGCCAAAAGACCCCAGCATTAGACACAGAAGTTCTAGCGACTCTAAATACATAAGGATTGTAAACATGTCAAAGAATCTTGAAATCACTTAAAGTCCAAGTTCCAAAATGGCATATTTCATCCACCCTCACTCATTGCCCTTTCCTCTCTATGACCCAAACTTGGCCACTATTCCTACTTTTTTTAGCCTTAAAATCCTAATTCCCCTCCTCTTAATGACTTGGTAGTTGGTGCTTTTGTTCTTTTTGTAATAACTAAGTATATACTTTTTCACACGCATGCACAAAGCATTTGCATATGGTCGTTTGTGTGTGTGTATACCTGGTTCATATCTATTGTTTGCAAGCCTTCCCCACGTGTGAAAATGATTGCATGGTTTTGATTTTCTGGCTTTCCCTCTCCCAATATTGCAGGTCCAGGAAGCTTTATCCGATAAATATCCTGTACAAGGAGATTTAAACAATCCATTGTAAAGCATTATTCATGTATAGAAGATGTGTTACAATGTTACAATTGCCTACTGTTGGATTGAAATAAAACAATAATTACTCTAAGAAGCACAAAAGTGAAGGAAACAAACTTGGCACCCCTAGGAGTCTCTTACAGGTCTAGGAAGCTCTGCCAGAAATATCTCAAATTACTGTCAATGCCCAATATTGAATGTTATAAAAATTATTACCTGATCCAACCTTTGAACAGGATCAGTGGAATCAATTGTCTTAGTTGGAGGAGCTGCCTTTACAAGAGCCGAATAGTAGACCTTCCGAACATTTTTTTTGGATTTATCTTCGCTAGTTTTCTCAACCTCATCAATGTAAGCTACCCGAAGAGATGGATAACTGCAACAGGGAAAATAGGAGACATTACCATGACTTGCTTCTAGAAGCACCTACGTTTTCTACAAACACCTCTGTGTATGCTTGTCTGGCACGAAAGTTTATCTTTACAATATCATTACATGAAAGGTAAAGTTTTAGCAATACCACCTGAACTTAACTCCTTTTGTCAACTAACCACCTGAATTTTTTCTTTATGGTTGCCCACATGAACTAAACTGTTGTTATATTAGTCAAAAGTTGATTTACCATTTTAAACCCCAAATTTTTTTTTCCTGTAAAATAGTTATAATTTTTTGTGTGAAATAAGTAAAGCTTTGACCATTTGGGAGAAGTTTGGCATAATATAACTACCTCGCTGAAACTTGATGTTTGCTTAACCTATTACACTAAACTATAAGTATACTGTATTCATATCACACACACACACACACACACACACACACACACAAAATAAAAAATATAGATAAAAATACTAGATACTGAAGAACATACGTTGCCATAAGTTTCAAAATGTCCTTGGCACGAGCATCACCAGATCGCTTGTGAATTCCATATTGTTGGCATGACACAACATATGAGAATTTCATGTCAACTACTGCTTGGCATTGAGCTAATAGTGACGTTTCAGATTTTGAGTGTTCCTCAATAGTTGATTCAGCAGCCTTATAGCCTTCCATTAGAGCTAATAATAAGGGAAAAAATAAATCAATATGCCCTTTACAAAATTAACCGTATAAGAGATAGGGTAGTTACACTACAACTAAGTTTCAATACCTTCATCTTTTGCCATATCCAGGAAGGCCTGAAGTTCCAAAGCTTTTCGGTAATACATCATACCTCGTACTTAATTGTAGAGAATAGGGGAAGACAAAACTCATAATCATACATAAGAAACATAACAAATCAAATCAAGTGTCAAAGAGAGAGGGGCAGTAGCCCGCATCTGCTTATACCAGTTTTGGTCAACGTTTGGCCTCGATATGATGCCCATAGACGGAGTTTCTCTTCCAGTTCATCATTTGCTCTGAGTTCTTCTTCACTTTCACATTTGACCCGCTCAAGAAAGTTAGTCCATTCATCTGCAATCAATCATGGGTTCATAAAAGAACAGTTCAGATAACAACGCACACTATATTGTAAGAGGAGAAACAACAAAAAAACAAAAGAGAAAACAATTCACCTGGAAAGATCTTTTGCAAGTAGAAAAGGATAGAGACACCATCTTCGTTCTGCTTTTCCAGGTGATCGACGGAGAAAAGAACTTCTTCTGAATAGTATGGTGTCAAAACCCTACAAAGTAATTACGAAAATATCAGGCGATATACGGTTAACAAAAAAAACTTTTGACCCACAAAAAGACAAAAATATCTGCCATCCCATATTATTTTACACAACTTATCGAAATTATAAAGTGGTTGATACAAAATATGTCCAATACTTATTTTATTTTGAAATAGTGAAACCATAAGTCAGATCATCAATTTAAAATACGGATCAACTACAGAAAACCCCCCAAACTATATGGGTAAATTCAAATTCATTCAAAGCCACATAGGCAGTTAACGCTCGGACTGAAGGATTGGAGTGGTTTAAATGTAGGTTTATGGGAATTTCTGTACGCGTTTATGAAAAAGTGATAGTTCGTGTATGAATTTGAAAATATCCCTATAGTTTGGGGGTTTTCTGTAGTGAGAATTATTATGTCCTTGAAATGGTTAAACCCAAGAATGTATTACTTCATTAACTGTAATGTAATACCCAGTACCCAAATTTATTGGATCATTATACTTGAAGAACATTTAAATTTCTGTTGTGTAAAATCAATAGGGCCTATATGGTTGGTTATTCTTATTAGCTAACTATATAGTTGGTCAAAGGTTCGGGTTACAAATTACATGCTTATACTATTATATATATCTTAGTGTATACATGTCACCACCTTGCAATTTACTTGAAACTATAGTATTGTGAAGATGTGTCAAGTACACTTTCATTTGGTATTATCTCTCCTTGTCTCAACCGTGAGACAATGGTGTAGAAAAAATTTTAAATTTATTATTTGTCTACGCTTCCGCAAACAGTTTAGTTACTCGAATTGGTATAGTACAAGAACTTATACACCTAACATCTATCTTATTGGTCATGGCTGCAACACCTGGCCAATAAACAAAACTTCAATTTGACAAAATAGTAAAGAACATTTTTCCCATGTCAAGGGCGTGACAATAATTGACACTGAAATATCTTCACCCCCGTCACCCATGAAAGGAAAAATGCAATAACAATGAAGAAAGTCCAAATTTAAGATAACTTACGAGAAGGAAAGCATATTTCGAACTTTAGGTGCAGGAGGCATGTCCATAAACAATGAGTTAGAAAAGAAAGAAATGCGCCTTCTAGCTTCCAAGTTGGATGGGACATCCATAGCAGACTCCTTCTCCGTAAGCAATAGATGAAGCCTTCTGATCTATAGAAGATAATGGATTCACAAACAGGATAAATTTATTACATGTAACTTTTACGAAACTCATTCAGACTGAGAAACCAGATATGAAAGGTCAATGCACTAACATTAATATTCTGGTCGTGATGACTAGCTAATCCAGCACTGAAATCATAACATTGTAAATGAAACATACCTTTTCTTTCCAAGCTTCTGTTTTTGGGGTCACTGGCACTGGGAAATTCAGTTCACCGAAATATGTATCCCGTTGATCAAGGGGTGTCATTCCCTCATCTTTCCCATAAGTTCCCCCATGGCTTGAATCTAGCAAGCTGCATGAAAAAGAAATGAATGGAGGATTGAGGGGAACAAAATCAAAAATATTAACCTAGTTGAGATATCAGATTCCAAATCATTTACGTGGGAATTTCATCCTCCATTATGTCCCTTGTCACAACCTCTAACATGTTGAGCAAGACAATTACGACCTGGTCCTTGTCCTCCTTTTTGTTTTTCAGCTGTAGGTCATCAGAAAGATATGGTTGGGACTAGCTACAATCTTGATTAATCAATAAAAATATGTGAAAGTTCACTGTCAAATAAGAATACCAGATGGTCAATCAACTGAACAAATTGCTCATGGAGGCTTGGGAGAGCACTCATATTGAACTCCGTTGTCAGATTTCCCTCAGCAATATGCGCATCAACTAAGGTGAAGATATCATTTATAACCCTGGACAGAGGAGTCATCAGGAAGATAACAAAAGTCTGGCAGATGAAATGTTTTCTTTCTATTCTGAGACATATTCAAGTAGTATTGAACTCACTTCTTTTCACGCTCTCCAAGGACCAAAAAATTAATAATACTTTTAAATGAAAGATAGCACTCGCGAATAGCACAGCGCATATAATTGTCTGTACTCATTCTCTTTTTCAGCTCACGATCTTTATCTTTGCTGTCTTTTGCCATGTCCAGCGCTATTGGGATCTACAGAATTAGTACAGAGTAAATACATGTATTGGTCTTGGTGAGACTAATGGAAGAAATTAGTCATGAGAACATAGACCTTGCTAGCAAGCAGAAAAGGAGGCCACTGGATGAGGTCTACTAAATCTGGGTCAGCCCCATATGGGACAAGCAGCAAGTTCTTTTCCCTGAAAAACAAATACAAGCTTTCAATATCAAACTATTTAATCCAAAAAGTAAAATAATGGAACTCAACATTCATTCAAGTTAAGGAAAACATTTCCTTGTCTGGCATCATTATTTACCTATCACTTATCAGATCCTCCTCTCTGAAACTGCTGATTATTTCGTTCCACATCTGTGCAAACTTTGCGGCCTCTTTCTCTTTGCTAGACGTGCTCTGAAACAACCAGCCAATGTGCAAAGACTCAAATGATGGTCTTTCAATGATTAACCGAGGGAGGTACCAAATTGTGCAGAGAAGGTCATTATCAATATTGGTAACTTCTCAAGCAGAACACTGATCAAACCTTATCAAACTTGCGGGAGAAAGTGGCTTTTAGTATTCCCTTTTTCTTAGTCTGCTCACTCTTCTCCACAGGAATCAAGTAATTATTAAAAGCACCTGGCAGTGATTCAAATCGAGATCTCAACATTCCCAGTGTACGAATCTGGAAGAAAGAAAAAAATCTGGTAAGGTGATTTAAGTTGAAAAAACCTACAATCAGAGCAAGGATTATCCAGGCAAAATATCATAACCATCAAGTTTTTAAATTCTCTTTCAAGGATTATCCATGCAAAATATCAGCTAAATAGAAAAATTGTTCAGCCATTTGATTATCCATATTTTCGTTTCAATTTCCTCTGAATGATTCTTTGCAAGGATAGCCCTTGAAGGATAAGCTAAAATATAGACGGATGTGTGCACTTTTCTCGCAATAAAGACACCCTTAACATAGGAAAAACTCATCATATATATAAGGTGAAGATTTTATGCAAAAAGCATACTAAAATGGGAAGATTTAATTTGTCACCACAATAAGAAAAAAAGAATAACAGGCGAACAGAACCAACATGTACAAGATATTCTATGGAAAAAAAACTGCTCGTGTTGAAACCAAGTGAGGATCCTTTTCTCTATTTTTCAGAAAGCAAAATGAGTTTCTATTTCCATGGCAACAATCTCGCATAATTTCTATTAGTATTTCTTCACTTTATTTGTTAAAAATCATAATTGGACATTTTTTTTTAAAATTGATTAAACCTCGAATGCTTTGAAACAAACCCCAAGTGATGCATGAGATTGTAGATTCACCATAAAAATATGAATAAAATTTTACGAGCAAAATGAAGACAACTAAGTGAATGATAAGACACTGATGTGAAAATGGGAGAAACATTAACATACAAGAACAATTGGAGCCCAGAGTGCAATCACCACACCAATGTTATTCTTAGCTGAAAAGGTCAAATGATGACATCATAAACCATCTGAATATAAGGAAGTTTATTTCATTTATGCATTTACCTCGAGGGAAAAACTCATGCCATTGGTAGGTCCCTATGTGAACTTTCATGATATCTTTAGTTGGTTTCACAAGAGGCCTAATCTGCAACAATGAAGAACAAATGACGCTGAGTCAACAAGTTTTGTACCCAAGTCTTTTTCCTTTTCTTTTTCTTTTTTTTTTAATTGAGAAGCACAAATCTTATTCAAAAGAGATAATGAACTACAAAAAGTGAACAAGCCTTTTTTTCCTGCGAAGAAACAAGTCTTATTAGAAAGAGATAAAAACTACAAAAAGTGACAAGCAGTCAATCATTGAGCAGGATAAATACCGAACACAGAAGAATTAATCAAAGATATTATCCTATATCTGCCCTTCAATTTAACAACAGATGCCCAAAGTGAAGATAGAAATGGATCACCCTCTCCAGAAGATCTTCAACCCCCACTCCCTTATAATTGTCAAAAATCCCCCCGTTCCTCTCCATCCAAAGCCCACAAGACAGCCATCCTGCAGCAACCCCACAAAACTCTAGCCTTCTTTCCTCTACCAAAGACAGAAAGTCACTAAGCACTCACTCCAGCCTACCAAATTATAAACACCACAAACTTAGAGCTACTGAACAATGAACAAACAGATAGTACTCTCCTATTTTATCTAACACATATACAGGAACTACGAGAAAGACAACAATTAAGTCTCCTTTTCTGAAGCAACTTATGCTTATTGACCCTCATGTCAGCCACTAGCCAACCCTAAATTTCTGAGAAAATATTTCTAGGAGAAGTCCCCTGAAATTTCCAGCTTCCAACGCCTCAAATCCTCTCTGCCTCCATAAAAATGAACTTTTATCTTATAGCAGCAGCAAAACTGATAACTCCATTACCTCTACTCCTTCAGAATTTCTTCTGAATCCAAAATCCCAACTCCCTGACTTAAAAGGAATAGATGCAAGCCAGGCGAAGACTATATTATGAAATCTGGATAACCTGAAAAACCGCAAGAAAAGTAATGCCAAAGGCTGTTCTCCCAACCACAACTCCTCCAACAATCTGACACTTACCTTATTCCCCACCACCAATTGACACTTACTCCATTGCCCACCACCAATTGACACTTACTCTATTGCCCACCACCAATCTGACAATTTTCTCATCTTCTTTACCCAGCTTTAAGACAAGACTATTGCCCCATTGCCAAACAGGATGCTATTATTAACAAATCATAGAGAAAACTCAAATTGGCCAAAAGATTAAATAACGAAATCTGCGACAAAGCCCTTGGGGTTAGCCCAAGTGGTGAGGGTGGGTGCAAAACGGGTTAGGACTACTCAAGGATTCGATTCTCTTCCATTGTAACCAGAAGTAAAAAGTCTGCGACAACATGCTAAGGTCATTGCTTAAGCGTTTTCCTATTTCATTGATATTCTGATATTCAAATAGGCTTTAAATTCTCCCCTCAAGCAATTATGGGTAAAAGAAAAAGATGAAGAAAAGGCAAACAATTTAAGGGGGGGAGGAGGGCGCCCTCCATTACCTAATAAACAAATAAGTCATGATAATAAAATGGTGTTGACCCTTACTAGTATGTGCCCCTCTAACATCATAAAATTACAAGTATGTCAAGAATCATCGGCATTTCACAAGAAGTAATCATTTAAACATAGATATGGACATAAGAAGAAAAAAAAGTTTACTCTGCGGATGCTTGTAAACGTTGAAGAGGGACTAAAGAAGTACCTCTACATAGTAACTGAAGGCTAATTTCGACACAAGCAGAAGAACCCAAAAAATGGTATACCTAGAAACAAAAGCAGTCAGTAACAGTGAGACCAGTGAATGTCTATCCCAGGCCATTCCAATAGAAAGAAAAGACAAATCAAAATATCTATGGTTACTTGAAAAGAGAAACTGAGCTTTCGTGCATTCCCCTTCCAACATAAAGCCGAGACTGCAAACATATCAAAGAAATGAATTAGACTGAGGCGAATATACTGGAAAAAAAAAATTTGAACAAAAATTAAATGTCTAGAAAATGAATGATTCAGGTATCATATCCATAGGAGGCAAGTCCTGACTGCTTCATTCCATAAACACTTTACTGGAAATTACAAGGTACAAATACATACCTGAGACCACCACATCATGAGCATCACAACCCTTAAGTGTGACCTTTCAAGAAACCGACGGACAATTGGGAACATAAACAACAATGCAGAGAGCATGTTTGGAGATAAGTAGATGACAACAGCCAAAATGAACAAAGAAGATGAACTTGGACCATTTCCAAACCAATTCCTGATCATCCGTGCAAATCCAGGAGGGTTTTTCCAACTATACGCGTAAGTCACTGGTAAAACAATAACCCATGCTGCAGCTGAAACAGCCTTCAAAACATATCTTAGCCTGACAAAGAAAGACATGCTTCGCCTAGCTTTCCAGCTCAGAATTAAATCAAGAACAGCTGTAAAAAAATGAAAATAGATTAATCAAATTATAAAATTTATATGATATCATAGAAGGCTCATATTAGTCATCATTAAACAATATGTATTCGAGGATAAAGCATCCTTGTGCAATTCTACAGAAAATCCCGTCATAATCTTCATCTCATCAGAGGTATTACATATTTGATATTACTGAGTTAAAAACAAACACCAAATGAATCGTTCACAAGTTTAAACATAGCTTAAAACTCTTCATTACTGAACAGTTTCCTTATAGACTACAACCTTATGGCCTTATGCCAAGTGGTAAGCAAGGTAACATTCTAGGTTCTGGCTGGGAACAGGTATGACCCAGCAGTACAGATTAATTTCTTCCAAATTTTTCAGAAGATGATTCGCTTAATGTTGACCTGATATTAGGGCTACTGACTGAGTTAATTTAGATTTGATTGAGCTGATTTGCAAGATTTCTAGTAACATTTTCTAGAAATTTTACATTGATTTTTTACATAAAAAGATAATCTAAGGAACTTTACATAAGGGTTGCCCCTACTTTATAGCTAGACCCTCCTTTGGAATATCACTAGATTATTGTGCAGGCACATAAAATGGGACCGTTCATGGTTCTATCATCCATGTATACCAATAAAGGCAAACGTGGTTAATTTTTCATAGGAAATGGCATTGTAGTGATTTTCCAGCACAAGTATGTCACAGTTGAGGTCAATTATGTTGAGAATATTATCCCACGTCCGGAAAGTAAAGCCTTGCACCAAATAAGATATTGGCCTCTCCACCCATTGCCTATTGATTTAGGTTGGATGCTCTAATTGAATTATGGTATCAGAGCATCCAACCCAAAACCAAACGGCGATGGGCAGAGAGGCCCAAGATCTTTTATATTATCGTGAAAGGCATTACTTCTCCCATGTGAGACAATACTCACAACAGATTAAAGATACATGGAACAGCGACAAATTTGAATTTTGACCACAGATGCAACACTAAAATAAATAATAAACCAGCAAATAATAAGGTTAAATGGTTTTATTTACCTTGTCCAAGCTTCATTATCGCAGCAGTTATGAAAATACTCAGCACTTTCTTAAAGACATCACCTTCAAACATGGAACTTAATTCCCCCGACCCATTCCAAGCAACAATGATCATTGCCTAAAGGAAATTATTACATAAGTCCTAAGAGTGCACAGACATAAGTACAGAAAATAAAGAAGGTTAGTAAGAAAAAATTCACCTGTAAACTCAATATATAAAAGCTCCACATTCTATCAAAACTTCTGAAAATGTGCCAAAACGAGCGTATTTCAACAAAGTTGACTTTACCAATCCATCGTTCCCCATTGAGTGGTTTCTTATTCTGAAATCATAAAATTTCAGAATCAAAAAACAAACAGTTAAACCAAAGAGTAGAATGAGAAAGATAAAAGCTTTTGTGATTATAGAGTACCAAAAAAGAAAGTTGTTTTGACCTGGTTAATCTAATTCCTACTTAAACATCTAAATCAGTGGTAGCTTTTGATTTTTCCTATAGAGACTAAGTATTCCAATCACAGATAACCTATTGATAAATTGCATCAGTAAAATTATCAGAACTGAAACTGTTGGCATTCAGATATGTTATGTTATCCATAAAACCTGAACTTGTAACAACATGACATGATGATTAGAGACAAACTGAAAATGCTGTATATACAGCCGTCAACGTAATTTCCGGGGGAAGATTCTATCAATGAAATCAAGAAAGTTGAACTATAAACAAGAAGTGATAAATGATCCATGTCATTAACTAAGTAATTTGTAAAGTTATATTCATGCATTAAGAATGTTTGATGATGATGGTGAACTGCATAATCATCTAGAGTATAGCCACTCTAATTGAAACCTACGATTTAAGCTTTAAGCCCTGCAAGGACCATCCAATTTTGTCCAGTGGCGGGTGTCTGTGATTACCACAACAGATTACCACAAACACCTGCCACTTGAAGTTTTTCCTTAAACTTCCCAAAAGCAGAGGGCCGGTCCCACTTACAAGGCAGATGTTGAAGCATCTTTACTAGAAATAATAAATAATAAAAATTGAACAAACAAACAAAAAGGTTTGTACAAAGCAAGGTTGCAGATACCATAACAGTACAAAAAGAAACGGATATTTTTACAGTGGACAAATTCAATAGTTACATAATGAAAATCAGGGATGATAAACAAAGAAAGAAGGA